TGACCCTTCTTCTCCCAGCTTAGCTGTCAGTGCATGTCTTCTGACAGTTTCTGCAGGACAGCTCAGTTTGTCTTTTCTCCATTAGAGAGAGTAAGTGAAGGAAGCTTCCTACAATTGGTCCATTTCCAAACGCCCGCCTGAGGTTTCAGTTGAGAAGATCACTCTTTAGCCCCTTCAAATCCGCAGGGTGCACATCCGAAAATGAGATATAATACATATGTAATCCTGGATAAACTCCATTCCCCACCCCTTTCCATTAAGTAAAATCAGTAACTAGAATCCCTGTTTAGGATTTGTGATTACAAGGATCACAGTCCGCCCTACCCTGGTCAAACAATACGGGCTCTAGGAAAGCATGAGAGCCATCATTTCAATAAAGCAAAACCCTGTTGCTTCCACTCCAGAACAGCTGACTTGAAGTGCATGCTAGGCTGTGCTTATTAACAAAATGAGAAATCTGATACATAGAAAGAAAACACTATGTGAGGATTAATCCTGGATTGCAGTCTGTGGCCAGCACTGGGCCATCATCCAAACACAGATGAAAAAGAACAGAATTTCTCCCACCTGTCACTTACAGCAGGTACAGCTATTGCTGTGTTGTAGCCTCATCCTTTACAGCTATTGTAGCAACTCATTTTGTATCAGCTTAAAATTCAGGATTGACCTCACTGTTTCATTTCTTCCTTGTTTTGTGGGAGCCAGCACTGGAGGGTGAATTTTCTTTCCAGGAATTACAAACAAGCGTGAGTAACTTACAAGTTTGGACAGCTAGCACAATACACGTATGCTTCAAGGAAAGAAACCCAGCTTAAAACCAGCTGGAACCTGGAGATGCTAACTGAACAAGAAAATACAACTCTCAGGAACATCTTTTTAACATTGTCCTGCTGCTTTTGAGAGAAGTAAGCACGCTGTCACTGCTGATTGCAAGAGACCTGAACAAACCAATGCATTTTCTTTGCCAACGAGCTGCTGCTGCACAGCAGAGTGGAATCCCTATTGCAATGCATTGTCCCTGCTCCCCATCGTACAGCAAGACAAAAACCAATATAAGAAGGCCTAATGGCTTAGTCACTGGTGTTCAATACACACCAAACCAAAGAAGTCATCTTTATTTTTTTTTTTTAATATATTCTCCTGATTATGGTTGGGTTGACACTCTGTTGTTGCAATGCCACAGCTGAGCCCTGTTAATTTTTCTCCAAGCCCAGCAGGGAAGGCATGTCTGCTGATGCTGAAATGGGCCCTTCCCATTGAGCTTCGCCTGTCACAATGCAGCCAATATAATGGCTATGGCACAAATGGGATTCTGCTTTCTTCCACTCCAGCACCACATTTGCTGCAGCACTGAAATGTCACTTTGTGGCAATGTTCTTCCCTGTCAGTTGGCAGAAGCTGCAGTGTTGTTCATGCACTTCATCAGTCAGATTTGGGTAGGATATGGGAAACCTGTTTTTTTGTGGAGAAAACATGGCAACCTCTTCCTACCAATACCTCTGGCTGTCAAGCTGCGATATGTTCATCAGCCCGGATGACAGGGTTAAATGCTGCAGTCAGCACAAACACTTCTGATAGGGAGGCAAATGCACCTCGGTTTTCAAACATCATCCCATTTCCCTACATCTATCATCAAAGAAGGCAGCAGGAGCTCAAGGAATAGCCACATACTATTTTCTGCAAGGTCAAAGGAAGGCACAACGTACACTTTATGTTTGGCAGCTCTTAATTACTATGGGCTGCAAAGATGCTAGAAAACGACAACTCTCAGTGCAAGATCTGCTGTTCACAACTTCAAATTTCATGCTGTGATCACCAATTTTGGGCTGTGGCGGCTGTTTTAGAGTTTAAATCCATTACACAGCCAAACTGCTTAGCATTATGTTGTTTTCTAGTTATTTTAAACAACTAATCAAAATAAATTGGACATGTACCCTTCTGGAACAAGGCCTCTCACCTTCTCTTTCTCTCCTCTCTCCCCCCACCCCTTGTCACACATCGGCTTCTGCCAAACAATTCAGCACTGACACTACAGCTCATCACGTGATACCAAGTGCTTCAAGCATCTTGCAATACTTATTACTATCTACACATCCATAAGTCATTCCACCCAGAAACGTATGTGAATACTAACGTGAGCTATTTCCTTATGCATTAAAGATTTAGAGCTCTCCCAGATCCTTGGAAGAAGCTAGCACCCTCAAATACTGAAAAATCATCCCTTTTATGTGTGTGTCTCATCTGCATTTCACGTAGATTAGGAAGCATGACATAAGGAAAACCTGCCATATCCTCATACTCTCCCATTCCTCCTGCTTGAGCTCCTGCAGCCACACAAGTCTGTCGTGATGAAGCAATGGATTTTAGATGTCAAAGAACAAGGCACTTACACAGGGTGCCCTTACCCATGTCAGAATGGAAAGTAACAAATGTAAGAGGTTGCTTATTCTTAATGCTGATCTCCTCCAGAGCTAAAATGATATGTCAGTAGCAGGTGTCAAGTTTGAAGACCCCCCTCCCCTCCTCTTTTTTTTTTTTTTTTTAATAAATATAACAAAGGGCACACAGATTTGACCTAATGGGTCAACCATCAAAAGTTAAACTGATTTAAATAATTAGACCTAGAATGTCAGGCACCACTGCAAATAATTGCTCCTAATGCTTTTAGAATTAGATTGCTAATGAAAAGGCGCAAAAAGGAGGCCATTTGCAGTTGTGGAAATAAGTCAATTTTCTTTCCATATGTCATTTTCCTCATGTAGATTTGCTGTGAAATCTTAAGGAGTCATTTACAGCTTTCTCTCCAGAGCTGCTGTAGTATATACAATAGTTCTGAGTAATAAAAAATAGCAATAAGTCATCATGAAATATTAGTTGTTTATACACTGTATTTATCAAGAATAGCAAACATCTGCTCATAGTTCTGACATTTTCCAATGAAAGTGACTATTGCATATTGTTTTCCCCTTAATTTCTGGAAAAACATGGGAACTATTCAAATATAAACAGCATTCCGCAACAAATTTAAACCAGTTTTGGTCAAAGGACAGTTCATTAGCAGAATGTAATTCTGATGCTCTTAACTGGTTTCTGGCTGCTCTCTCAGATTTATTCTAACAGCTCAGTAATACCCTGAGTGATTTCGGTAACCGTCTGCTAAAGCACTGGGTTCCATATATAATTCACTAATTCTGTGTGAAGGTGCGTGTACTCCCGCCTCACTCGCAGATTCTAACGCCAAGTTACCCGTCTCTGGAAGCGCCCAGGCCACCCGAGTTCTCAAAGGTTGCGGATTTCGCAGCAGAAAGATTCGAGAGCCCAGAGCCCGTGTGTACATTGGCGTTCTGCGGGCCGGGCGCGGTGTCCGGCGGCCGCGGAGCCCCCGGGAGGAGCGCGGCTGGCGGCCCCGATAACGGGGGGCGCGCCGAGAGCCGCCCGCCGCCGCCGTGCCCACTTCCACCTGGGACCCGGCCAAGCAGAAGTCAATAATTGACTTCCCCGCGGCTCTCGCCCCGTACCAAGGGGGCCGGGCACGGGCTGGGCGCTGCGGGCACCGCGGGGCTCCGGGCCGCGCTCCGCGCCGGGGGCCGGCACGCAGCCTCCCCCGCCCCCACTCCCCCCGCCGGCTTTGCTCTGCTTTTAAATGCAACCAGAAAAAAAAAAACACAAAATGCCCGGCTCCCCCCGCCGCCGAGCTGGCACCGGCACCGGCGCGCCGGGAGATGCAGAGCCCGGCCCGGCTCCGCGGCGCCGTGCTCCCGGGACCGGGCAGCAACCAGCCCTCTCGGTTCCCTCAATTGCGATGTCGAGCGCCTCGGCAATAATATTGCCAGCCTGGACGTACAATTTCTTTTTTTTTTTTTTTTTTTTTTTTTTAACCGGGTGGACAGCTCTACGCTGGCTGGCGCGGCCGGGGAACGTGCATTTCCTGCGGGGCACAAAGCCGGCGGGCAGGGTCCGGGGAGCCCCTGGCCGCGGGAGGGTGCGCGATCCTGCTCCGTCCATTGCGTCCGAGATGGGGCCGTAACAAAAGCCAGAGACCCGCAGCGACGGGCAGAGCGAGCGGGGCCGGCGGGTCCTTCCCTCCGCGATCCCGAGCGGCCGAGGGGGGCGGCGGGGAAGGGGGGAGCCAGGGCAAAAGTTCACCGCGGTCCCGGTAGGGCAGGGGGTGCTCGGTGGGGCTGGGGCCGGCGCTGGGGCTGGGGGATGCCGGCCTGGCTCGTCGCCTCGCAGCCCGGCGGATGGACCGCGGGGGGCGGGAAGGAGGCGATGCAAGTCCCGGGAGCCCCTTTCCTGCCCTCTCCTCCACAATGCGGCCAGAGCCCCGGCACAAACACGCCCCCCCGGCACCCCGATCCCTCCTTTCGGGGGAAAAAATAAAATCAAATAAAATACAATACGGCTCACTTGAAGGGACGAGTGGCGATGGGGAGCGGGCGGCTGCTCCGGGGCTGCCTGCGCGCCCCGCCGCTCAGCCCCACGCCGGCCGGCCCGGCGGGCAGCAGCTGCGGCCCCCCGCCCCGAGCCCACTGCCGCCGGGGAAGGGGCAGCGCGCACCCGTGCGCACACACACAAATGGCACGGGAGGAGGGGAAAGTTTCCAGCCGCTTCAACCAAATAACCAACATTCGCAAGCTCCAGACAGGCACGGTGGCCAGCACACCGATGCACGCCCCGGCCCCCGAAGCAACGGGGCAGCGCGCCCGGAGAGCGAGGGGAGGGGGCCCGGGGCACGGAGAGAGGGGGGCAAGAGCCGAGAAACCATCTCGGGTTTTTTCAATGGAAGTACCGCCGGTGCCGGGCACTGCTGATGCAGGGCAGGGAACAAGGGGACACCCCCGCCAGCCCGGCGACTCTCCCGAGCGGACCCGTGCAGATGGGCAAATCACCGGGGCTGCGAATAAAGAGCGGGGAGCGGGGCTGGGCTGCACCGCGGAGCCCGGCAGCGCCCGACCGCCCCGCGGGACCCGCGCCCCCGCCCGCGCCCCGCGCCGCGTTACCTTCTTATTGCATCTGGAGCAGCAGCTTTTCTTCCCTTTCCCCTCTCCTCCTCTCCCTCTCCTGTCCTCTCGGTTTATACCAGCCTGTTCCTCATCTCACAGCCTTCCTCCCAGCGCCATCTTGCAAGCTTGTGACGTTGGGAGCCGCTCACCCCTGACCCACATTTGAATAGAAGCCAAAATGAAAAAAAGAAGAGGAGAGAGCGAGGGAGAGCGGAGAGAAAGAGGGGAAAGAAGAAGAAGAAAGAGCGGAACAAGGAGAGGCAGGGAAAGCAGCAGCTAAGCAAGTGCTGTGCCAGTGTGGAACAGCATCGGCTCTGCTCCCTTGCCAGCTAGTTTAGTAATAAGCAATTTCCTGCTTTTGCAATAAATGTTGCCGCGGCGGGGCTGGGAAAGGGACGGGGATCTGAGTAATTCCCACCGAGGGACCAGGGCTTCCCCCACCCCGAGCCGCCCCCTTCCCTGCCACCCACACCCCGAAACCCAGCCCGGAGCCTGACCACTGCCTCCCGGCAAGCCAAATACTGCTGCTCCCTCCCGGGTTTTGAGCAATGAAAAAGGCATTTATTAAGATTATTTCTCCCATCACTGATGAGCTCTTAAGTGTGTGTTAAGAGAAATTATATAGATTATAGCTTGTACGTGTGTTGGAATCTGAAATTAGTTTTACACACAAATTTTGGAAACATCACGCATAGCACTATTTGCACATTAGTTTTTTGTCACTCATATCTGTGTGTTAAGGACTGTCACTGCATTTTGCATTATTCAGGGCACAGATACAGACATGGCCTTTGCACCCACAGAATCTGAAGTTTTGGTTTGTGCATTTATTTTTTTTTAGTTATTTACTTATGGAAGTATATTGGAGGGAAGAGTTATTTGTGTTATGCGTCCCTAGTCCTGCAAAATTTCCATTCCTGCTTAACTTAAAGCACATCAGTGATCACACTGAGTAAGAAGGGCTACTCAGATGCTTACACTGAGTGTGCCCAGCCTGCAAACTCAACCTATTACTTTGTAAAACGTTAAGTTCACTTAACGTTTTATATCATAATCTTACTGACCATTGTCACAAAGTACAGCTGTGCAGAAATCTGAATTACCCCTTTGTAGCACTCTCTCCCATCCATAGCTAATTAATCTCTAATAACTGGAGAAATGCACATAAAGATTTTTATTGTCATCATGCACAGGAGTACTTCCACTATCCCATGTAAGAATCACTGTATTAGCTCCAAGTATGAGACGATATTTCCTCTCCTCCTGTGCCCTCACAGCCACCCAAATAAATAACCAAAATTCTCTGTAGCCTCAGCAAGGCGATTCATTAGTGCAGCTAAGCCTACGTTTAACACATGTCTAATAATTCCCTAATAGCCACCATGCCAGTGACTCTCTCAGCCACTTCCTGTGCAGATCCCTGCAGTCTGCATGCCCTTCAGCTGCATCCCAGCTGCAGCCTAAGCTCTCCATCCCTGATAATAAAGATATTTTCTAGTTGCTCATCCAGAGTTCAAAGTTTTTGCAGGACATGGTTTCTTCAGCTTTACCAAAGTGGCTTGAGGAGCAAATAAAGATAAGGCAAATCACAACAGCCGTATCAGAAGGGTCTGGACTGGTGGTTTGTTCACAGTGCACCCAATAAAGAGCAGAACACTAACAGTGGTGAGAACAGCAAACCTGACTGTCAGCACAAGACCCAGTGAAGTAGATAAGGATCAATTCAAGACTCTTCCCCCACCAGGAAAGTTAATTTGAGATCGGTGGTGCTGCTCTGAGCTGTATTTTAAAGCTAAGTGGCCTTGCAAATAGCCAGGGAGGTGTTTCACGCCATTTGTTTCATGCTGTGCCAGAGGAATTGGTAGGCAAATACACAGAAGTCCTTGCACTATCTAAACAGGGGCTACATGCATCATAGATATTTTTTCAGATAAGTTTAGACATTTGGGTTTAGAAAGAGCCACTTTTGTGAATCTTTGTGTGGCATTTCAAGACCTCAACAATGCCACCATCTGCCCTCATCTTCCTTCCTTCCGCTGAAGTTTTCCACCCCAGCACAATCTGTGTGCCCCTGCCAGTTCACAAACCAACATCTTTGTTCAAACCCGCTTTCATCAGACATTTGAACAAAGGTGCCAAGTTTTTCACAGGAATGGCTTGAGGCACAAGCATTTCAGCCTGTCTGCCAACTTTGCTAGGCAGGTGTTAACTTTTGAGAGTGAAGGGGAGAAAGAAGGTTGGGAAGATGGACAGAAACATCCTCAAATGTGACCACAAGGTTTAGTCTAAAAAGCTTTACTTGTATTTGAATCTTCTCTAGGTTTGGGAACTAACAGTTTGCAGCATCCCTCAGGAAAATGAGAGATAGACACATTTTCAGTAGAGAGGAGACTAAAAAAAAGATAGAAATTAGGTGTCTGGCACCTGGAAATGATATGGTATGATACAGCACTGCATTCAGCTTCATATATAGATGATAATTATAAGGTTGGAAAAGAACTAATGAGAAAGTTAGAGCTGGCACTGTCACTAGAACCAGGGACATCTGTGGAGAATCTGATGAGCCAAGTTGAAGTATGGCCACACCTACCTGGAAAACATCTACAGGCACGCAAGGCAGATACCATGATACCTGTAATGTCTCCAAGCAACCACAGCCAGGGAATTTGCCATCCAAACAGAGGGTACACCCTCAAGTTCTGAGAAATCACACCCACTGTGGGCACATCTGGCACTGGTAAAACGTGCCCCTGTGTGTGAAAGCAAACGGGTTGCTCAGGTGCAGGGAGCTGCATGCGCAGATGAAAGGCTGGATTAGAAGGGTGATGGTGGCACTCTGCTTGCACACACCGTGGCACAGTGGGCATGTTCTGGAGGGTGATTTGGGCTTGTGAATGTTTTGAAGAAAGAGGCTCTTCTTCTATTTCCAGCTGGACACTTGTCATTTAACTTTGTTTCCTAGTCTTGTTTGACTCTGAGGTTTTTAGCACTTTACTGAAAAGAGCATGGAGAGGATGGCAGCATGAATTAATGAATTGTGCTGGGTGAATTGTGCTCTGCAGACACAGTTGAAAGCTTCAGCTTCCTCCTTGGTGTGTTGATGAGTACATTGAATGCAACACATCCAAGTTAGCTATGAAAAACAGATTTTTGCCCTACAAATATACAAAGAATTTAGAACAGAATCCAAAGAACAAGCAGATTGCACACCATTCTTGTATCTTAGTCCTTAGTATCTATTCACAATAGCTCTGTAATGCTGTTTTCAAGCAGATAAGTTTAATTAATTGTATTTCCCCCCCCCCCCATATAAGTTATTGTTTGCAAAATACTTAGACTCAAGTCAGTGACTGAAACCCAGAGGAACTTCAGGGCTTTGGTTTAATTTCAGTTTTTAACAAACTGATGTGTTCAGAAGAAGCTCCAGCCCTTTGTAGCAGTGCTATAACAGCAAGTTTATACTCATCCTAGAACAGGAAGAAGACATGGGTAGAATTATTGTAGTGACAAGCGAGTGCTGTGGGTGAGGAGTGAAGTAATCTGAGCAAAGAAAATGCCATTGCAGAAAGTAAACAGAATAACGACCAAAGGGTGGCCATGTGCCCTCACGGCTCTTCAGTGCCACCTGCCTTCAGCCCCGGCGCTGTGGATGGCCAGTGCCATCTAGCAGGCGAACTGGTGTTTACAGTGGCGAGCGATGGGTAAAGCTGGGCAGGAAAGCTCACATGAAAAGCAAAAACTGCAATTCAAGGAACGAAGCAAAATATGCAGGGCAGGCAATGCCAGTTCAGGGCTTATGACTGAAAGAAAGGTCAAAGCAGTGGGTAACCAGCCTGCTCCTCAAGAATAGATAAGGTTTTACCTCTAAAAATAAATTAAGACAGGGTTTCCAAGCAGAGATTTGCACTCATTGTCTCTGCAGTGGGGTAGTCCTGGCAGCTCCACGAAAAATGCTGAGAGCCAGGATGTCGGTGTGGAACTGAAAGAGGCATCATGTAAGGCATTGCAACGACCCAGGAAACTGCTTGAATAGCATCAGAACAGCGGGGGATAGCTCATGAAATTAAGAAAGAAATAGAAATATTCCTCTACAGTAAGATGTGTCTGGAAGGTCTTGTCCAACAGACTCACATGGAGGAGATTCCAATTTTATGCTAAGATAGGTTTGGAAAATTCTCTCTTACCTGCGAGTGTGCTGTGATTGAGTGTACATCCTGTGATTGAGTGTACATCCTCCGTAAAGCTCCTTCACCATTCACTGGATTAGCTGGGCTCCCCACTCTGCTACTTCTGCTCTTTGACTGCAGTCAGTGGATGATGCACAGAGCATTACTTTATAACCTTTGTGTAATTATATTATCTTAATTTATCCTATCTGATCCTGGTTTTACTAATGCAGAACTTGATAGAACACAAATTTGAGAAGTAATTTTTCCACATCTAAAAATGGAAAGAAATATTTTTGGAAATTCATTTGTAATGAAGGAAAATCAGAAACAGTAAATGTAACCTAAATCCTTAGTATAAAAATTGCCACAAAGGACCCCACTTCAGAGCTAGTTTTATGCTGTGGCTGGTCACAGGTTCCCTCAGCTCTGCACCGTTTTGCCATGTATAAACAGGGAACAAGAAAAGAACTGGTGCTACTTTGAAGAGTGGACAAGGAAAAGATTAAAAATACTTTTGTACCCAAGATCTAAATGAAGTTTTGCCATAGCTTTTAAGAGAAACAGTGGATTTGAAGAAGAGAGTAAAATTAACATTGATTAGTTGGAATGAGGGGAAGACAATGGAAGTTATCACAATAAAAGTGAAAGCAAATCTAAAATATCTTAACATTTTCCAGTGAGGGAGACCAGTAATTTTCATCCCAGAACTCCGAAGGAACTAGTACCAGATTGATAGCAACCATTTGAAATAAATCTTTGAGTTGGAGGTTGTTCTTGCATGATTTGAAAATAGTAGCTATAATACTTTTGTTTTTAAAAGGATTAGAAAGCTTTCTAAGAAGCCACTGAGTTCATTGGTTTTGAGACCACCTCAGACTTTCAGGAGAGTTTTGAAGAAAAATATATTTAACATGTTTTATATATATGTGTGTGTGTGTGTGTGTGTGTGTGTGTGTGTGTGTGTGTGTGTGTGTAAAAGATGCCGAGAGAAGATAAAAAGGATAAAATGCAACCACAATGCTGATTTTGCTGAGTGTCCTGGACACTTTATCTTTGCAGAGATAACTGATTGTCTAAGCAAGGGGAAATGCAGTAGATGTAATCTATATGGATTTTAGTCAAGCATTTGATATGATGCCACATGGGA